TTCAAAGAAAAAGAGAAAAAGGTAGCTCCTGCCAGGACTGTACCCGGGACACCGGCTGAGGGAGGTCTCAGCAGCTCCAGAGACAAACGTCCTAATGGGCTCAGGGACTTATCTGATGAGCCCCTGAGGGTAACATAGGAAATTCTCAGGTGTTGTCCCTATTTACTGTAAAGGGCAGTTTCCTCTCCTGGTCATTTCAGGTACCTAAACTTTCTAGCTGCATTTTTCAGCCACTACTGGCCTTCTACCCTGTGAAAATGGCATGTGTTCCTACCCAAACATTCAGACGTCAACAGCCCCAAGCAGCGAGTTGGGTCAGGTGTGGCCTCCAGGGCCAAGAGCCTGGGGTAGCAACATGCTGTGTGGTCTGCATGGTGCCACACAAGATCTCAGGGTCTCTCGGCCTCAGATTTGATCTCACTGAAAACAAGGACCCAGGCTTTTTCCATGGCCTTTCACAGTTTCTTCTAAATGGCAGATACCTGTCATCAAGGTGAAGCCATTCTCTGCTTTTGTTAATGGTCACAGGTCACGGGGCAGAGCCCAGCAAAGATGACCTTGAACGGCACCTGAGAGTCAGTGCAGGCTTTATTTGTCTCACCATGATCGAGTCACCCAAACCCTTGCAGCCACTGAGAGAAAGTTAATCACATCCATTAAGTTGTAACAGGTACAGGTTTCATGGACTCCACACACACTCTGTCACAAGTGATGCTTGCACATTGGAAATGAACATCGGCAGCACAACTACCACCTGAGGGGCTTCCTGTCCACCTGGACCACATCGGTAGCAAACAGATCAGTTATAGAAGACCTCCCTTTCATTAAAATCAAAAAATAGAAGTACGAACATACTTCTGACCTACTACTCTAGCAATGCAGTCATGATCTCATATTACAGAGAATTAATGAGACATCCAGGCCAACAATAAACTTCCCACTCACCCATTCTGTTTCCAGAAACAGGAAGTTCATTTGGTTGCTACAAAGCAAATGCAGACCTTGAAAAGGCATGACAATTATTTAACATTGTCACGTTGAAAGTTCCATGAACAATTCAGGGAGATGGATACATGAATATATAAACACTAGCTAGGTCCATACAGAAAAACTAATTCCTTGTTTGACACTAGTTCCTACATTTAGTCAATATTAAGATGATTTTCTTACATGAATTTCAGTGTCATCTGAACAAGAAATAGAGGTCCGGGAATGCTACCAGGGCAACGGCCAGAGCTACCGCGGCACAGCGGCCACCACG